CTAATTAGCAGTCCAAATATAATATGTGCTTTTACAGAAAGAAAACCTGATGTTGGTCAGCAGAGGGCACTAAACTCTAATCAAAGTAAGTAGAGGTAGGCCTACATACTATATGTCCTGAGGGAAATGTGGTTTCAGAAAAAGTCATTACGATTTTTAAATGTGTACACCTGTCTTTATAACTGTTCTGTCTGTGATTGCTTTTATTAATGCATTACAAACTGTAATTTTACTTTATCTTTACCTCTCTCTCTCATTTTTGTTTTGTCTATCGATTTTTCTTCCCATTTCTCTCTGTCTCTGATGTAGTGTCCTCAGAAATCCCTAGTGTATCTTAGTAAAATGTGCCTTTGTGCATTGTAGAGATTTATAACTCCTGTGTACAAGGGCCATTTCCAGGGGAGGCTACTTATGGAAATTAAACTTTTTCATGAAGGTTATAAAGAGGATAGAAATGATCAGATCGTGCCCTTGTTCCAACTTCTGCCCACAGTTCCCCTAGAGAGAGACATTATGCTGGGGCTTTCAAAATGTAATTGATATTGCATTTTTATTGGTATGACATCACTGTAAAAGCACTCAAATGTATTTATTCAAGCAGGAAAATAGCATGGTGAGTTATGAATGGGCATGTACAGTTCCCATTAAGAAACCATAACAAATATAGAGAAAAATACTAAATTGATCTGACATGGTTGAAAGGATAAGTTATGGATAATGTAATAAGTTAAGGATAATGTAATGTAATGTTTACACTTTTAAACCTTCAAAAATGCAAACGGATGTGTGTCTGACCCTGTTTTCACCTTCTACATTGCATTAAGGATGTGAAGATTGGTTCAGTGTTCAATGCAGCATAATGAATTTTATAATTCCTCTGAGAGACTGACCATTACCTGAACTGTCTTTAACAATACTTTTCAGGCCACAAATCTCGTGCACTATTATAGCCAGAATAAACCTTTAGATGGTTTAAAGAGCTCACAGAGACTCACACAAAGATGCTTTGTGACCTTGAAGATCTCTGAAATTGACCAATAATGTTTTTAGGCCAATGATCATATATCATTGTTTAGTTGTTACAGTAAACAGTATTTACAATAACCATTAATTTTAAATTGACAGGAGATGTGGGATGTGACATAATATATAATGATAATGATAAAAGTTTGAGTATTCTTTTAGGAGAAATTTATGGTTATTCATTCAAGGCTATTCCACACTACCACTTAATCGATACTAAAAGCATTAATTCTAATGGAATTGTTCAAGATGAATTCCTCTCCATTTGCTTACATGTATGCATTAACAGTAAACTTGTAAAAAAAAAAAAAAATCAAAAGGTTATTTACTGAATTCATGCAGATCCTGACTATGATTTCTCCATAAATCAAGTACTTATATTTCAGAGTTTACTGTAGTTAATATTATATCTGAGTTGTGAATGTGAGTTCTCAGAAGAAGAATCGTCTTTTTATTTCAATGTCGAGTTGTCCTCGCGGGTTGTATACCAGAAACAAACTTACAACTCGTTCAGCGTAGTAACCTACGATTCTGATACGATTCACGAAACATATAACTCTTATGAACTGGTTCTTTTGAACAGTTTAATATTTGAAAGTTTTGAATTAGTCAAAGGAATCCTTCACCTCTGACTCAATTACTGAACTTTTTTTTTAACGATGAAAAATGTCTACATATGTAGGCTATATACTACAGTTCAAAGTTTTGAACTGATGAAAGACATGAAGTCAGATAATTCAAATAAAAGTCTGTTAACTGTCTATTCATCAAAGAATCCTAATTGTTTTTTTTTTTTAAGAATTCTCTTAAGCTACAGTGTCACATGATCCTTCAGAAACAGTGATGTTTCATTTCCACCGTTTCATTTCAACATTGATAAGAAAAAGAAATGTTTTTAATGATTTTTGAAGGATCCTGTGACGCTGAAGCTTAAGAGAAAGCTTTCAAAAAAGGAAACAAAATCTACCAACTCCAAACTATATATATATATATATACACAGTGAAGGCTGAGGTGCATCTGTAGACAAAAAAAAAAAAAACACTGTCTGAAACACTGATCCATTAGTGAAAAAGCTTTAAAAAGGTCATGCTAATTCTTTAAGAACTCTTTGCCAAAAACATTGTGCTCAAAATATTGCCCATATCCTGAGAGAAATATGATCATAAGTCTGCTTTATACCAGTAATTAATTATACAGAGTAATGGACCTGCTCCACTCTGGACCCGGCTTGCTCTGCCACTCATGGCCAATTTCCTTAATTAGGTGTCTGCTGTTAATGTAAGCACAGTATGTGAAATATATCTTCAATAAAATTGTGTCTTTTGTGGGGTCTTGCTCGACTGAAGGGCAGGAATGATGTAGACAGAGTGTGCCGCCATAAGATTTAAGAGCAGGGATTTACCAGGCTTTTCAATCTCAGCTTGTCTGTGCTGTTGTAAGGATGACCTTGCTGTTGTGAGTAGACTATAGTGTGACCGTCACTTCCTGTAATGTCGAGTGAGTCCTACCGGATTGAGATTCCTCACAGCAGCTGAGATGACATGAGGTGGTGAGGAATGGCTCTCTGAGAGCCACGTGTCTTTTTCATGCACTGAGGAGATATTGACTGCTAAACACTGCACAAATAACTTTAGTGGCATAATTTATATATGACTTGATGCCATCTGTCAACAGAAAGTTAAGTGTTTTACCATCCAGTTTATTTATATTCTCCTTCATGCTCTCATTTTTATCCTCATTTAGCAAACAGGGTGGCATAGCAGCATAGTTGAGTACCGTGAGTTTTTAATGTGGTTGTGGCGCATGGCCATCTACCCAATAACCAGCACTTAACGCTCTCAACATAATGAATTTTTTCATTGATTTCAGTCAGAGGTTGCTGTTTGCTAAGTCCACGCTGGTCTGGATGTTTTAAGTGCTTATTTCACTTTTAAAAAAAAACATGTATTATTTATTAAACATTTACATGTTGCTAAGGCCAAAGCACATTCAAATATTGTTTGAAAATATTTTAAATTTGAAAGTATATCTTTTTGATATCAATTTTTAGAGTGTTAGATGTATAAACCTGAACAGAAACATTTTCATTTCAATTCAGATTTATTCCTATAGCACTTTTCACAATAAACAGTTAATATGTTAACTTTGACTGCTCTACAAAAACACTTTATGTAAAAGCCTTTTTCGTTTCTCTCAGATTTTCTGCTGACGTCCTACCACTCTTTTGTGACCCCTCAGTCCCCCTATTTTTAAAGCCCCTGATTTAAACAACAAAGATTAAACCCATAAAAGGTGAATAGGCCTATTATTTTTTGCTTTTCAGACTTTTCTCTCTCATTTTCTTTCCTTATCTTCCCACCATCAGTAAAGGTCAGTTTTGATCACTGTGATTATTCTTCTCTAGATTTAACCACAGTACTGAAGTGTGGCGAGCGCTTATGTAAATTCCTTTTGTGAAGAAATAGCTTTATTCTAAAAGAAAAAGGGGGGCTTCTACAGTACTTTTAAGTATCAATTGTGCACATGTGCTTTTTCTCCATTTTCTCCTCTGAAAATTACTCTTGATGTGAAGGAAGATCTCTTTCGTCCTGTCATTCATTTAAATCACAGCACCTGCTTTTGCCTATTGGTACTTTCTGCAAGTTTAAACAGTCATATTTATTTTCATTAGATTCCAGTTATTCACATTCTATCCACCTCAGCACACGGTTTCACATAAGATTTCATATACTATGGAAAATTATTAGCTCACACCTGTTTGTCTCTTGAAATGTAATGCTTATACTCCCACAAGGTCAAGCAGTGACCTCTGAAAAACAGACAATTTGTAAGAAACTGGCAACGTAGCTTGTGTGCAATGGCTGATTTTACCTCCTAGAACTCCTAGAGGGGAAACTTATATTTAGAAGCTGAAAAGCAGTAGGCTTTGTGATTCCGAAATGTGTCTGATGTGGAGGGGGGCTGACTATGTTCTCTGGTTACAATGTAGTGTGTGTAACTCAATACTGATCCATGTGCAATTCAGATTTTGGACGCCGTCAGCTGCATGGAGCATGTGCTTCCCTCTTAGCTGGACAACAACATGATGGTGTGAGAGTTATAGAGGTGCATTTTGCTGTTATTTATGTTGTAGACACTGATATGTGGCCTGTATTCCCTATTTTAGCCGTACTGTGTTGTGTGATTCTGATTTAGCTGTGCTGGTGGGGTCAGTGATTACTGGCTATTAGCACCGGCTGCTCTTTTGTCCACCCACATGCCAGATCTAAGCCATAAGTGTCCAGCCATCAGTAGACCTACACACACAAACACAAAGATCTTTCCATGTGGGCACAAACACATTCATTGCATTAATTCACTCAGACAGAATGAATAACACCCACACACAAACACACCCACATCCATGTCCATCCATGTCTTTCAGCAGCCAACTAATGAATGTCTCACACCCGAGGGACGCTCAAAGCACTGCGGCAAAATTCAAACCCTCAATACATCATTCAAACTCCCACAGAGGGGGATGGTGGTTCACATTGTTGTTTAATGGGCAGGTGAGATAAAAAATTAAAAAAAACTAGGGAGAGAAAAAGTACAGGTAAATGTGTACAGGACAAGATCAGAGTGAACTGTTTAAATAATCTGATGTATCTGAAGCACCAAATTGTAATCGCTACAAGGTTTTAGACATCAACTGGCATATCATAGCATGCACATTCAGTCACCAGAGCAAAAACACACATATTGTTTGCTGGTTTTGTTTTACAGTTTAGAACTACTGCTATTGCTCAATCTACATAGTAATAATAATAATAAATTAAACAATCAGTTGCTGTTGTTTAATGCCAAATGGCTACAGAAAGGAGAGAGGAGAAATGTTTAATGTGGAAAGAAAAGTAAAACAGACAAACAGTCACATTATTTTGAAGATCATTGAAAAATATATGATGTTACAAAACTGTATACAAATTAGGTTGTGATTGAGAGTACTCTAATTCCATTATAAAGTCAAGTGATTTTTCTTCCTTCAGGCTTGTTCAGTGAAGAGACCAGTCAGATATTCTCATTACTGTAAAATGTCTTCAGAGACAATGAGTCTTGAAGCCTTTGATGTGTGTAAAATTTAAATGATTGATTTCAAATTATTTTGTTTTGAATAAATTTTACTTACAATTATGATCAACCCTTTTAAATTTACTTCTCTATTGCTTTACTTTAATGTTCCTTGATAAATTGTTGTTCTGAGTTGCATTGACCCTAGTAACCCATTTTATTTAAATATTTTTCTGAAAAGAGACTTGGGGGTGTATAAACTTTATATACTTATAGTTACTATGTAGGCATATTAAAAAAGGTGATTAAAACAAGAGACATTTTATATGTTAAAAGCTTCAATTTTGATTACTGACATGAAAAGATTTATTGACTGTTGAGCAGGGGATTAGAGTTACATCAACTGCATATTTAAATAGATAGATAGATAGATAGATGTTCTTAGTTGTTCTTGCATTTATGGGCAGGTTGACCTTTGGACACATTTGCTGTATCACCAAGTAACGGGATATACGTGTCACTCTGTGACGCGCTCACACTCTCAGCAGCGCTATCCCAGACTGACCTGCTGCCAGCCGAAGCCGTTCCTTCAGCCTCCGGGCACTCCTGCTCTTCCTCTTTCGCGCGTAACGCCATGAGTTCGATCTCATGCTTGGCAGCGGTTTCAATCACACGCTGCTTACTGTAAACAATGACGAAGTTGTTAATAATCGGATGGATTGGCAACGCGATAGCTATTACGCCACACAGAAAACTGACAGCGGCGTTGCACCTGCCCAGCGTTGTTTTAGGATAGATATCCCCATAACCCACAGTGGTCATAGTAATGATAGCCCACCAGAAGGACTGTGGGATGCTGGTGAACATGGTCTCAGGGTGGCTCTGCTCCAATGTGTACCCCAGTGCAGAGAACAAGAAAATCCCCACGCTCATGTACATGAGCAGCAGACCCAGCTCTTTCAAGCTGCTTTTGAGCGCGAATGTAAGAGTTTGCAGACCTGATGAGTGGCGCGCGAGTTTAAAGATGCGCGCAATGCGCATGATGCGTAACGCTTGCACTGCCTGCTGGACGTTAGCGAGCTCCATCACAGCAGTGCCCAAATGCGTTAGAATCAGCAATACGTAAAAAGGCATGATAGCTAGAAAGTCTATTATATTCATGAAGGAAAACGCAAAGCGCAATTGGTTCGAAGAGAACAAGAAACGCAAAACGTATTCCACTGTGAACCAGATGATACAAGCCGTCTCGATGGACACAAGGGTCGGGTGTTCCACGAGGTTACCCTCGGCATCTTCCACTTGGAGCTCCGGGATGGTGCCCACACACATGACCACAGAGGAGAGCAGGATGAACGCGAACGACACTACTGCAATTACGCGCGCGGCTAAAGATGACTCGGGTTTCTCCATGAGATTCCACAGGAACGCTTGGCACCTCTGACCTCTAGTGACCGTCGCATCATCCTCTAGGTCGTCCAGGATGGTCTTGACCTTCTCTGCTATTTCCGCCAGCTCGGTTTGCACCTCATTTAAACTACTTATACAGCATTCGTCCAGATACTCCGCGTCGATCCCCCAATAGTCCATCTCTCTCGTGAAGCGCATGGGACAGATTCCTCGCTTCATATGAATCTTTCCGTAGCAATACAGCTCTAGGATGCATTTGAACGCCTCTGGGTCTCTGTCGAAGTAAAACTCTTGCTTTGAGTCGTCATAGTCATCACAGAGCGCGCAGAGATCTTCTTGTGTGGAATCCGTGGCTCGGTTCACCAGTTCCGCCAAACGTGTCTCGGGATATCGGTTCAGCACGTCCCCGTAGAGAATGTGCTTGACACCACCGATATTCACAGCAATCTCCGTTTCCTCACTCGCCTCTGAGCCGTTACAGTCTGCGTAACGAGTCCTCGGGAACTCCCACATGTCAACTGATACAACCCAGATTTTTAAACAAAAACAAAATAATAATCATTTTTAATCTAGAGGACCATATAGGTTATAAAAAGCAACATGCCCATGACTAGTAGCTAGATAAATATAATAGGAGAGACCGGGGCTAGAAACTGCCACATATTTTCAGACTGTGATTTTTTATTTTTATTTTTGAAAATCTGCTTCCATCTTTTTTGCCGAAAAAAGAGGAAGTTCCTTGAACATATGCAGACCTTTTATGACAACATTTGCCACCAGAAGGGCACAATGGAGTAAGTTGTCACAATGAAAACTGCTAGTGTAAATTCTGGGGAAACAAAAATGTAAAAGGATACTTTATATTAGATCATTGTTTGGACAAAAATATTTTAAGAAATATGTTGTGTAAATTTATAACATTTAAAATGTATGTGACAACCCGATATGACATGTGAAAATAGCCTACTTTTTCCTGAGAGCAGATTATACAGACCAGATATTAACATTTTAATAAAAAAAATAATTTAAAGAGGGTTTTGATTTTGGCACCAACATACAAACCACTGCAAGGACTAGTTACTGAGATACAGCCCGTGACAACTTCCCCATGTGACAACTAGGCTATAGTCCCGGTTTCCCCTTTTCTATTTGTACATTAGCAAGAAAGAGGACAAAACTCGTTTTGCTTACTTTAAAATGAAATACGTTTTATTAAAAATACTGAAATATATTTTTTACTTAAGGATTCAATACATTATTCAAATATATTTAAAACATTAAGTCGTGTTCGCATTAATAAAGTGGATCGCTCCACGTTAATGTTCTAATGTTAATGGTCAATTGTGATTAAAAAAAAAACTTACATATGTTTGGATCAAAACCTGAGAAGAAAGTCTTAAAAAGCTTCTGACTTCAGCTGCATGATGTCCGTGTGTAGAGCAGAACAAATCCTAAAGAGCGCAACATGAGTAAAGACGGGTGACAGGAACAGAACTAAGGTGTGTGTGATACTAGTCAAAACTGAATAGTTGATATCTCAAAGACGGATCCCCATAGAAGTCAATGGCAAAAATTAAATTTTAATGGAAAAGATACTAGTATCTAAAAAATAGGTACTAGTACCATGAAAATAGATACTAGTACGGCTTATAGATTAAATGTTACAACGGCTTTCCATAGTGTGTGTGCGTGCGCGTAGGGATGGAGCAGGCGTGATGGGAGGGGTGGAGAGCCATAATTTATGTTTTCGGATTGAAGGACCAGGAACAGGCTGCAACTCGTGCAGTCATAAAACATATAGGCTACTCTCTTATCGTGGTTATAATTGATAGGGGTGCATTTAAAAATATACACTTACGACATCTCATGGTTCTTACAATTTCTTAAACTTTTTTTTTACACGCGTACAGTTTTTATATTATTTTAATTAGAGAAATGTTTCGAATGTTAAATTCGACCAAACATAAGCTTTTCTTGTGTAAAACACTGCTTTTTCCACTCAGTACAAATAAATGCACACTAGAAAGCACTTTAGTAAGTTATGTTGAAATATCTCGCTCTAGTGTTGAAAAGTGGAAACTGCAAGGCAACAAGTTATGCCACAAGATAAAACTGTAAATACCCCGACTCGCTTTTGCAGTCCACAAGCTACTTGTATGTTTATCAGTCAATTTTTCATACAGATATTTTCTAACTATTTGAAGTGTCGACAATGTTTATTTCAACCTAATAACGTCAACATAAAATTCCAAGCAGTGTTGAAATATTATTTTTTTAGTCATACGGATTACAAATAGAGATAGCTAGATAGATGTAGTAGCCTACGAACGAACGAACGAACGCTGTTCAAGATGTTCATATTGATTGTTTTATTTCCAAAGTAGTTTATTATTTTGAAATTGATGAACCACTCTCTAGTTGTTCTTGCATTTTGTAGACAGTTGGTCTTTGGACACAGTGGCCGTATCAATAGTACGGAATATACCTGTCACTTTGTTGCGCAGTCGCACCAGTACTATCCCACACCGAGCTGCAGTCAACCGAAGCCTGTGATGGCATTTTTGCAGCCTCCGGACACTCCTGCTCTTCCTCTTTCGCGCGTAACGCCATGAGTTCGATCTCATGCTTCGCAGTGGTTTCAAGCACACGCTGCTTACTGTAAACAATGACGAAGTTGTTAATGATCAGGTGAACTGGTAACGCGATAGCTACGATGCCACACAGGACACTTGCTGCGGCGTTACACCTGCCCAGCGTTGTTTTAGGATAGATGTCTCCATAACCCACAGTGCTCATGACAGTGATAGCCCACCAGAAAGACTGTGGGATGCTGGTGAACATGGTCTCCGGGTGACTCTGCTCCACTGTGTACCCCAGTGCAGAGAACAAGAAAATCCCCACACTCATGCACGTGAACATCAGGATCAGCTCTTTCAAGCTGATTTTTAGTGCTACGGCGAGAGTTTGCAGACCTGATGAGTTGCGTGCGAGTTTGAAAATGCGCGCAATGCGCAAAATGCGCAACGCCTGCACTGCCTGTTGCACATTGGCCAGCTCCATTTGAGCAGCACCCAAAATCAACACTACGTAGAACGGCATGATAGCTAGAAAGTCTACTATATTCATGAAGGAAAACACAAAGCGCAGTTTGTTCGAAGAGGACACGAGGCGCAAAACGTATTCCACTGTGAACCAGATGATACAAGCCGTATCGATGGACTCAAGGGTCGTGTGTTCCACGAGGTTACCCTTGGCATCTTTCACTTGGAGCTCCGGGATGGTGCCCACACACATGACCACAGAGGAGAGCAGGATGAACGCGAACGACACTACTGCAATTACGCGCGCGGCTAAAGATGACTCGGGTTTCTCCATGAGATTCCACAGGAACGCTTGGCACCTCTGACCTCTAGTGACCGTCGCATCATCCTCTAGGTCGTCCAGGATGGTCTTGACCTTCTCTGCTATTTCCGCCAGCTCGGTTTGCACCTCATTTAAACTACATATACAGCATTCGTCCAGATACTCCGCGTCGATCCCCCAATAGTCCATCTCTCTCGTGAAGCGCATGGGACAGATTCCTCGCTTCATATGAATCTTTCCGTAGCAATACAGCTCTAGGATGCATTTGAAGGCCTCTGGGTCTCTGTCGAAGTAAAACTCTTGCTTTGAGTCGTCATAGTCATCACAGAGCGCGCAGAGATCATCTTGTGTGGAACCCGTGGCTCGGTTCACCAGCTCCGCCAAACGCGTCTCGGGATATCGGTTCAGCACGTCCCCGTAGAGAATGTGCTTGACACCACCGATATTCACAGCAATCTCCGTCTCCTCACTCGCCTCTGAGCCGTTACAGTCTGCGTAACGAGTCCTCGGGAACTCCCACATTTTAACTGCTAATAGAAAGTGAAAATAATAATAATATATATACATATTTTTTTTAATATTAAAAAAATCCCATGACCAATAATAAAACAACAACAACAACATGAAAACTATTATGAAATACAAAATAATTCTTGAGGCAAAAATGTAAAATAACATAGAGCTTTGGGCAAAACAATAATTAATAAACTAGATGTAGGCTATAAATATATAATATTAAAAAATCATGTGACATCTTGCTCAACATGACATTAATGAATGCTTTTGTCCTGAAAGCAAGTTCCGTAACTTTTTAGTTAAAATCGACTTTTGCTACCTTGGTTTTACTGTGTTTACACAACAGCTATAGCACCCCTCAATAATAAACGGTCAGCTGAGATAAAACTTACTTATGTTTGGACTGCAGTCTGTGAAGAAAGTTTCAAAAAGCGTGTTCTTTATCATGCCACTGAGCTGCTTTTCCATAGTTCTGTGTAAATATGCGCTAAACGGACGTCTTTGACCGTTGCACTCGCGTCTTTTGAAGTCCAATTTAAAAAACAAAAACAAATACCAAAAAAAACGCGTCTGGAGACTTTGCGTTTCCCCCCAATCCATTACCCATTCCCATCTCACTCAGTCATATAAAACATAGGGTAAGATGGGAAGATGGGGGAAATTCCTTATGATGTCTTTTTTACACTCATACGTATTTATAATTATACTGCGAATTATAAATATGAATAAGTGCAAAAATAGTTAACTAGAATTTATTACATTTATGCTTGTCGCTTGTGTCAAGAACAGTTATTACAATGAATTATTACAACCATACGTTTCCATTGAACGCCGAAATATCCCCATCTAGTGTTGAAAAGTGAAAACTGCAGTGCAGTGTCACTTGATTAAACTGCCAGACTTTTTTGCAATCCATGCACTGCTTACATGCTCAGCAATTAATGTTTAAAAAAGTATTCAGATTCTTGTGTTGAAAATGGTTTATTTCTATCCCCATAACTTAACTTGAGCTTGACATTTTCAATTGTAGTGTTGAAATGCATATTTTTCAACATATAGATTACAAATACAGATTTTTAAATGATTTTATTTTTCTGAAGTATATCACATGGGGAACTGCCTCATCCTGGTGGGCTGCATCTCCGGCTCAGCACTGGCGTATCAGGAGAAGTCAAGTTAGATGATTTGCGAATAACAGCAAAACTGAACCTTAACATCACGTGACACCCTCATACAGTCACCTTGGAGGTTGTATAAAGATGCAGCAGCTGTCTGAGCTCAGTATTCTGTTGTTGTACATTCTGTGTTTCCACCAGAAGCTCAGCCCTTTCAGTCAGTACAGTACTAAGGATAAAACATCACTGTTAATAATATAGTCCAAATCAAGGTTTTAATTTGGGTGCAGTATGGTATAATCATGGACTACAAAAATGTACACTTACTGGTACTTGTTGAGAGCTGTATCTAGAGCACTCTTGGATGACATTAGCAATGCTTTCCCAGTACGCTGCATCTTCCGAGTCATCTCTCATATCCAACCCCAAAACACTGCTCTTCTGTGAGGCCTGAACATCACTGGACATAATAACAAATAGTTGATTTTAGGAAATATGTGTGACAGCAGAAGCGTCTTGGTTTGAAATGCAAGCGCACTGACTGCGGTCTGCAGTATTGAGCAGTAAAATCTTTCAGAGCCACTAGTAGGTCATTATGATGGATAAAGTCAGAGTTGTTGGTTGTCTCCTCTTCCTAACAAAAACACAAAAGAGAAATGCAACATATTTAGTTTTGTTTCCAGAGTGGCATAGTGAGATGCTGAGCTGTGATGGGATCCACTTTTACCTGCATCTGTTCCCTCTGCTCTCGGCCATGTTGTCTGTAATTCATTAAGAACTCAACCATTTTATACACATCCTTCTCACTCTCAATCCCTATTGCCTGTGAGCATTAAAGAAAGAAGAAATCAAATTAGACATCAGTCTTTTTAGTTTTTCAGTGGTTCTCAAACTTTTTGACACCATTGCTCCCCTTCGTACAAGATAATATTTGAAGGACCTGCTATCTAAGCTAATATGTACCTCTAATACTTCTGCTGAAATAAAAAATAAACTGAAAAATAACATGTCATACTTTACATCTTTATTTTAGTGTTTCTTTAGCATTTTAATTATGTCAACACAACTAAATTTAAATAATTGAAAGACATATTGGGGGAATGTTGCTCCCGGCCCCCTTGTTGAGAACCACAGGTCTAATTGTACTTACTGAGAAAATGGCATCTAGCTTTATAAGGGACTGATCATTCTTCTCCAGATGAGACACCAGCTTCAGCAGTTTACTCTCTACGAGAAAACCCTGAGAAAGAGAAAATCAGCCTCTGATTTTGAAATGAAAAATACAATTGCTTTAAACTATTTACAGGTTTTCTGCAGGTTTTATGAGGGGAAACGACTTTTTAAGACCAAGTAAAGACAATCTAAGGAATAAATGGAAGGGAATGCAAAATGTCAGTATGTTCTCTTAATGTAAATGTATAGGCAGCACACAATGGGTTGTATTAGTTGAAAATACAGCTTCCAACCACTCTCCATTACTGTTTAAGTAATTTTACAAAAATAGCTGAAATCTTGAATACCTCTGCTCCCAACCACTAGAAATAACTTTTACTGTACTTTCTGATCACACTGCAAAAAAGTGGCATTTACTTAAAAATGTTAATGTGTCTTTAAAATGTAAAAGTGAAGTACATTTACTTGTAAAGCAAAATGACATAAGTTTTTAAATGAAGTGAGTTCATGATTAAATCAAGAAAAAGGGAAAACAAGTTTCCATTCCCCATTCACAGATATTTGTTTTTGTTTTAAGCATAAACTTGATTTTGTTCAATCTAAAACAACATTGGACTGCACTGACTTTCATAATATGGACAAAATAGTTTAAACATGGTAAAATATCTTCTTTTGAGTTCCACAGAAGAAAGTCATAAAGGTTTGGAACAACATGAGGGTAAGTAAATCCCTTTAAGGCCATAATAAGATACTTTATAATGATTTTAGCAAATGGCTGCAATATAACAAAGAGTGTAAAATTTAAGGGGGTCTGAATACTTTCCGTACCCACTGTATATACAGTATATTAACATAATTGAAGCATCATTTCAAGAAGTTTCATTTTTCAAAATTGCAATCAGTCAAAAGTATCCCTAACTGATGAATCACACAGCCACAATCACACACTCACTAATTCGTCACACAGCAGCTCCAGAATTCTCTTCACTGTTCTCCTGTTCACTCCACTACCAGTGTCGTCCAGACCCTCAGATTCCTCCACTAAATCTCCTCTTGTTTCTTCTTGCAGGGTATCTGCAGCTGCCTGTGAGGCCGTCCTGTGGGTCTTATGTTCGATCGGGCCGGAGCGCTCCATGAAGGGGAGCGGAGGAGACACCCAAGCCAGACCCAGCTGCTGCTCGTGAATGATTCTGTCTGTCTCCAGCACCCTGTGTGCCAAGGCCTTTACCTCATCTTCACTTATCAACCATAACTTCTCAAAACGCTCAGCATCGAGCGCTGCAAAGTGTCTGTGCAAAAACACAAAAACAAGGTTTGTCCAGGGACTGTCTGAATGTCTTAAGATCATGAGGTAAGTAAGTGCACTCACCTTGCTTTCTTCTGCATGTCCTTGTACTGTTGTCTGATGCGTGTGTAGTCATTTCTCAGTGATTGTTCCTCTGCTTTCGACTGCTTCTCCTGATTGGCGCATTTAGACTTTAGGTTGTTGAGAACATCTTGCATTCTGAAAAAATTCAGGTCAGTTCTGAATTTAAACTCACCAGTATTCATGACTGTTTTCCTGCAGTGGGGTGAGATTACTAATGATAACTGTATCAGCTGAAAGGCAGTGACTCTTGCTGCATTAAAATTATTGAACAAGAATGTAATGCATTAAAATAGCTTAAAACTAAAAAAGACAGATATCTTGGGTTTTACTATACTAAGTAGAATATCTTTACTAAGATTAGTTTGGAAATGTACTGCCATACACAAGTGTTTTGGTTGGTAAGATTTTTTTAATGTTTTTGAAAGAAGTCTCTTATGCGCACCCAGGCTCCATTTATTGAATCAAAAATACAGTAAAACTGTAATATTGTGAAATATTATTAAAATTTAAAATGACTGTTTTCTATTTTAATATATTTAAAAACGTCATTTATTTCTGTGATGGCAACGCTGAATTTTCAGCAGCCATTACTCCAGCCTTCAGTGCCATATGATCCTTCAGAAATAATTTTAATATGGTGCTTTGGTTATTAAGAAACATTTGTATTATTATCAATGTTGAAAACAGTACTTTTGATTAAATACAAGTATTAATGTCTTCCTGACATCAAACTTTTAACAGCAGTGTACCAAGATTAATCTGAAAAAGTTATGATACCTTATAATTTTCCTCTTCAAATGGGATTTTAAGATGGCGTTCTCTTCCTCTCTTTTCTTTAGCACCTCATATTTGTAATCAAGTTTTTCTTCATTCAGATGGCAGTTGAACTTCACCTCTTGTAACTTCTTTCTTAAATTCTGCACACACAGACAGACACAAAGGCAGATGTTTATTTGTATCTAATATAGCATTACTGTCTCTAGCATATAGTTACATGTACATACAGTTAATTAAGTCCATATCAAATTCACCTGTACTTCTGTATCCATTCTGATTTTGTCTGTGTTGTATTCTTCAGCTTTCCAAACCCTCAGCTTCTGCAGCAAGTCCTCGTGCTCCTCCAGGAGACTTAAACCCTGCATCATGTTCCTGAGCTGCAGAAAAAGATGCATCTGTTGTCAAAGTGGTTTCAGTCAAAGGTATTCACATTCAAATCGGTTTCAATCCAATGTGTGTCTTAATCCATGTGTGTGTTACTTTTTTAAGTATTGTACCTCTTTCTTGCTTCGTTCTTTCATCTGATGCCCCCATTTCTTCCTGTGTTTGGTTAGCAACGTTCTCCTCTCATC